GATACAGAGATCAACATGGCAAAGGAACTAATGCAACATTCAACCAGCCAAGGACCACAACTCGACTACCATCGATCGACACTACGACCGTCAAATCGATCGATTCTAACCTTCCAACTTTTACTTTCAATAAACAATATTCTGTTGATGATTTTCTAAAACCCGATGAATTTGGTATTATCAGGGATCCAGAAGGCAATGCACTAGCACTAGATGGAAGGATTCTACATGTGTCCAAAGAAGACATAGCAGACATCCTTCAGATGGCCAATAGACCAGAAAATCTGTTTCAACAACAACTTGGCGTAATGCAGCAACAATCAACAGCTACAGTAGTAGAACCATCGATCGACAGGCACACACGCCACACCCATTGATCTATTTCGACGAAACTGGCAATCAAGTTTTGGAACTGGAACTCTACACCAAAGATGAGATAAACGAGATGATTGGTTGCATGAGTGATTGGGAAGAAGGGGTAATGGCTAAGCTCACCGACAATCAGAATACATCATACATAGTTTTGCAAGGAGGCATTACAGGATTGACAACAAGAGTGAAAGAGATGGAAGCAGAATTAGCTAGTCTGAAGACACAGTGTATGCAATCAATCAATGTCACCAAGGACTCATCAATTGATGCTAGCAACGAATCAGAAAAAAACGAACCGACAATAGATCAGATAGCTGCATGCGATACCAGGATTGATTCGATAGATCACCACCTCACCAACAACATCAATTGGTTAAGCATGAGGATTGATTTACTACAGCAAGATTTGGATGAAATCTTCGAGGAGAGACACATGAACCCAAAATCGATCGACAGCAACAATGGGAAATCGATCGATTTAGAAAAACTACCAGAGCAAGATTTCTACACCAGAGCAGAAGTTGATCAGATTATTGAGAAGATATACACCGCTCTGAACACAACTGAGGACATGTTTGATAAGCGATGTGACGACATCTTCTTCCCTTTCAACAACAATATCACCGGACTACGTTCAAGAACCTATTGGTTGGGGAAGGAAGTAAGAACAATTCAGAAAAGACTCGCTTGTCGACCTAAGTTCACCCAATCGATCGACATCAACAAAGACCCATCAATCATAATGTTTCACCAGGGGCGATCGACAGCATAAGGATTGAAGCGATCGATTCCAAATCCGTACCAGAAGGAAATTAGCTGTTAGGAGAGATGACAAACTACGTTTATGATACAGTTCAATGGAACAGAAACAACATTGAGAGTCTTCAGGAAAGACTTCAGGACATTGCAGACACAGTTACAAAGATGGATGCAAGATGGGGCCAGAAGTGATGAAGCCACAAGAAGTTTCATGGCTACTTGGTTCAGCATCAACTGAGAAGTTGTGGATACTTGTTTTCCAACAAGTAGCTCTTTTTCCACACTATAGCTCATCCAGTGCAATAGTCAAGCTAAATGACTATAACTAAGCACGAGTGGGAGACAACCCACTGTTAGGTAATATTTTTTTTGGTTTTCTTTTCATTTTACTTATACTTTTTCGTTTTACAACTTTTGCAGGTTTTTTCTAAAAAAAAACAACAACAAAAAGATCCAAGGAGAAACGAATGACCATCTCGTCGACCGACGCGTACCAGTCGATATCGATCGATAGACACTCACCTGCAATGATTGATTCTCATCTACTCGCATCGATCGATTATTCAGTCCGGTAAGGTTCATTTTTCTTCCTTGTTCAATTTAGTATTTATGATTTCTTTTATTTCGCCATAACTCCGATTTTCTTTACACTTGGACAGTGTAATTTTAGTCTGGGCGGGGGGTTTACTGATGTTTTATTTTTCGTTGAGTCTTATAAAATTGTGTTTTCAAAACTATATTTTATTAAGCTCAAGAAAAGGGATAATGATCGTATTTGATTTATACTTGTTATCTAACCACTTTTAAGCACCATTATTGACTTTATGATTACATATAGTACTAAAGATGCTAGAGTGGATCAACCAATAAGATATCCACACTTGCTTAGATTGTTTGAAGGAATCAAAACTACCTCCAACACTAAACCTAACACAACTGCTTGTCTTGGGGCTTGGCATACATGAGATCGGATTCTTCCAACAAGTCTGGAAGGTAAAGCCTTGTGTAGATTATCACCTTTTCTCTCTCTATTTTCGACCCTATATAGTTTATGAGATTAGTTTTATTTTAAACAAAAAAAAATCCGAAAATAGTACTAGGTTTATTAGGTTTTTAGTTAGGAGGAATCAGAACAGGACTTAGTGGCTACAACCATTAAGACTTGCTTCAATCATGATTCCAATAAAGAATTCGAATGGGACTTGGTGGCTAAAA